TATTTATATGTTCTCTTTAGGAATATCTATATCCTCCAATGCAACTCTCTGGTCAACTTTATCCAAAAGTTGCATTGAAGGACCTAGAGTAGGGATTGGCAACGTTACCTTACCTGGGGCCAGTCGCTGGTCCCCAGGTCTTCCGGCAGGCCAAGGGAGGGGTGGGAATGGCAGCGTGCTGCCATTTGGGCAAACAAAATGGCGGCTGCGCTGCGCGTGGTGGCAGCGGTCAGCGGGCTGAGTGTGGCCCACGGGCTGTAGGTTGCTGACCCCTGACCTAGAGACTCCTAGAGTGAACACTCCACTGGGCAATGTCTGTCAGATGTTGACCACAGAGTTGCACTGGAGGACCTGGAGATTCTTAGAGAGATGTTCTCTCAAGTAAAAAAAATAGTGTTTTTGTTATTAGCGGTTTTTCCACATTTATAGGAGTCCTGTACCTGTAACCCCAGCAAATGTGGAGGGATGAGTGTATCTACTTTTAAAGAATAATCTGCTGAAAAAATGGCTTATAAATTTGATTTTGGGCTTGTGTGGAATTTTCTGGTTTCCTGTTGTCCAATGTCACACAGATTGGCCTAAAGCCATCAAGACAAGGTCCTTCTGGCAGCCCTCCCTGGGGCTGAAAATGTAGTCCCGGAGGAATATGGAGCTCATAGAGCAGGTTTTAGGGAGGGGAAATTCTGGTCACCTTCATTTAGGACAGATTTTGCTCTTTCCTGAATGGCAGTCCATCACTGGATACAACCCATTGTTTTTGTGTGTTGTATTGCAGTCTTTATGCCATTCCATTCCTTGAAATAGAAAAAAAAATCCATAGGAAATGACACTGGCTGGTTTTCTGGAGAATTTGCCAGCTCTCATCACAGGTGCCCATACACTGCTCCTAGCCCTTGCAGTTCTTGGAACAATCACCCCCCCTCCCCCGTTTGTTTATTCTGTTTATATCATACCTTGCTCTTAAACTGGGACCCCTTGATCAGGAATCTTGTAAAATGACACGCACCTCCGTTTTGTTTGTTTGTTTAAAAACTCAGGAAACACGGCTTGGGAGGCTCATCAATGATGTCAGAAAGAAAACGGAGAATGAGGAGCTTGCCAAGCGTGCCAAGAAATTGCTGCGGAATTGGCAGAAATTGATAGAGCCGGTCGCCCAGAACGAAGTTGCATTGAGGGGGTTGCCAAATCCACCTGGGTCAGCTAATGGAGGGGCTCACAACTGCCGAGTGGAAACTCCCCCCGGGGCTGCCATCATTGTTGGTTCAAAGCCTATCCACGATCTGAAGAACAGGAATGATGTCCAGAAGCCGCACTCACCGAAGCCAGGGAACCGGAAGCGGAAAGGCGAGCCCAGGGACGGCCTCCAGTGCCCCCCCTCCTCGCTGCCGAAAGCCTCCAAAGCCAGTTATGAAGTGTTGCAGAACTCTTCTCCTCCTCCCACAAATGGGATCGGGGGGAGCCCAGAGAGTTTCCCCAGCCCTCCGGATATGACCTTCCCCCTGGAGCCAGAGGGCAGTAGGCCTGAGCCTGGGGAGAACGAGAAGCCCAGCAAGATCCCTATCAACGCTGTCCGGCCTCACACCAGCTCCCCAGGACTCTTCACACCCTCTGGGCTGCCCTCACTGCTCAAGACGGCGGTCCTGTCGCCCCCGCCACAATATGAAAAGGTGGAGGAGGTTGCGGTGGGTGGTCAGCCCAGGAGCCCTCGCTGCTCCTCCTTTAGCCCTCGGAGTGTCCGGCTGGAAACTTTTGCTCGGCAGCAGCACACCACCTACTCCTCCAAAGGTTTGACACCGGCCCCTTCTCCAAAAGGCCCTCTCCTTGATGCATCAGCAGGGGGACCCGCATCCTCACGATCGCCGCCCACAAAGAGGCTGGCATCGCCTCAGCAGATGGGACTGGGGCTGTCCCTGCAGGGCCCAGAGCTGCAGGCTGCCCCAGAGAGCCAGCACCTCCCGTTGGGGGCAGGAGCCTCCCCCAGTGGTGTGGCTGGAGGCTCCCATTTGTCAGAGCCCTTTTTGCCAGATGCTCTGAAGGGGGACAGTGACAGTGCTGCCTCTGGCTCTGATGGGAAGAAGAAGAAAAAGTACCGGCCCAAGGACTGTGTGGTCAGCATGGATGGGCAAGTGCTGGAAGGCGGAGTGAAGCCCGTGCGGTTAAAAAAGGCACGGCGGCTGACCTTTGATCCCATGACAGGCGAGATTAAGCCCTTGGCCCAAAGGGACTCTTTGCAGGCAGCGGGGGACCTACCTGCTTTCACTGAGCAGCCGCAACTGCCGGCAGTGGCAGCTGGACAGGTGGCAGTGGCACACCGGACAGGTATGGGTGGGCAGGAGCCAAAGGCCCTCCTCCTGCACAGTCCCTTTGAACAAACTAATTGGAAGGAATTGTCCCGAAATGAAATCATTCAGTCCTATTTAACTAGGCAGAGCAGCTTGCTCTCCTCCTCTGGGGTGCAGACTCCGGGGGCTCATTACTTCATGTCTGAATATTTAAAGCAGGAGGAAAGCACGAGGAGGGAGGCCCGGAAGACCCATGTCCTGGCTCCCCACAGCAAACCCTCAGACTTGCCTGGAGTGACGCGAGAGGTCACACAGGACGACCTTGACAGGATATGCAGCCACCACTGGCCGGGTGTGAATGGTTGCTATGACACACAGGGTAACTGGTATGACTGGACGCAGTGCATATCGCTGGACCCACATGGGGATGACGGGCGCCTGAATATCCTGCCTTACGTCTGCCTAGACTGAGCACAGTTTTGCAAGATGCTTTTTTTTACACTGGCAGTTTAGTAAAGCAGGGGCTGTGCCACACCCGCCATCCCTGAAAAATAATGCTGGAGGAGGCTCACCAACCAGAGAGGAGGGAGGGTGTCTAATGGAGTGAGCTGGACATTGGCAGTTTCTTCTCCCTTGTTAAAATTTTTTGTGTGAAGTGCTGCTACCAGTTTACTTATGAAATTGCAAAGGGAGACATAAAAAAGAGCTTTTGATTTAAAATAAGACAACCCTGAAGAGTTGCAAACTCTAGCAAGCCAGCTGTTTAAAAACAAAACAAAAAGATGTTTAGTTTTCAGAAGGTGAAGACTTTCCAGCAATTTTGAAGGCCAGAGTCTGAGGGCAGGCAGGTACAGGTGGGAAATGATGGAATATTAACACAGGAGTAGTTGAGTCTATTTATTTGTCTTGAGTTGATTTGCTTTCTCTTTTTCTCAAAACCGAAAACATGGCAGTGAGATGTTCTGAGATGAACTGTGCAAATCTGTAGTTAGTTCTTTTTGCATTGCATCTCTCTGGGGTGGAGCTGTAGGGCTTCTCCTGATGGTGATGTGCTGCCCTGCATTGTGGCTGAAGGGTGAGGAGGGAGAGTGACTGCTTTGGGCTCAGCATAGACCCACAGACATCATCAGATGATGGGGGCCTTAGATGGTTTCAGTGCTGCAGAAAGCATGTTCACAGGCCTCTTGGCAGGGACATCGCACCACCACCAGCAGGCGCCTGGGCATGTCTCCCTTCCTGCAGATTTTTGTAAGGAAAGGCAGAAAAAAGTTGCAGTTTCTTCTTTTTGTTTAAACAAAGGAAAATCCAAACCGTACTGAGGGTGCTATTAGTTTGTAAACGTTCTGTGAAGGGGGGAGATGGAAGCCTGTTTGTATGCTGGAAATCTACTTGTTACCATTCCTTTAGATATTGTTTGCCTTATGGATATCCATCACAAAAGCAACTTGCAGAAAAACAGCCTTAGTGAATGTACAGTAACTAGACTTCTGTGTTCCTGGGACGCAGAAGGGAGCAACTTTGCTATTGGTCCTTTCAGCGGACACATTGTGATATAAATGTGGAAATAAACAAAAAAAATTTGCACAAAGTACACTGTCATTTTCTAATGTTTCAGAAGCGGCCAGCTGGTTTGAGTCAGGTGAGAGAAGAGCTAGAGGGAAGCAGAGCCCAGAGTCATCAGTAGAAGTATAGTATCTAGATCAAGAGAAGTAATAGTGCCACTTTATTC